AGAGTGACAATGTTTCTATCTATTAGGAAAGAAAAAGAGTTTAATAACTCTAGTTTTCACAGAGTTATTACAAACAAAGTTACCTTTTTTCTGTAACCAAACAGTAATAAATAACTATATTATGCAGACCAGCTGTGAAGGTGATGAATACAGTGCAGTGCAATACAATGTAAGATTCTGCAGACTGTGTAATCATTTTGAGACATTAGTGACATCAATTAGCCTCCCTTCACAGCATGCTCTCAGTTAAGTTATTCTTTTATACAGCTTCATAAATCAAATCTATCTAAACAATAAATAATATTAGTTATAATAATATTGGTTATACAACATACCACAAGCAGCATGTTAAAAACAAAACAAAACAAATCATTTATTTGTTAAGAAACAGTAAGAAAAAGAAATGCATATGCAGAACTGCAGAAAGCCCAAGGCATTAATGAAAGCAATTAACCCTCTAAACCTAAATTCTGTTCTCATTGCAAATGTTCTTTGTATATTGCAGTAGAATTAATACACTGATGGGCCAACACTGTCTGAGTTATTATACCTACCTATTATACCTACCTTAGTCAAAAATCCTACAAACACATTACAATTTCTAGGTCCTTGATTTTGTATATGTATATGTCCTTGATATTGTATATGTAATACAATATTAATTTCGGTTTTCATCCCCCTGCACTTGAAATTACCAGGTCCATTTCCCTCAAACTCAATGCCATAGCTGCAGTGACTTCAGTGCTGCAGAAACAGTGCTCCAACACAAAAAAAAAAAAAAATTGACAGGCCAGAGAATTCAGTACCTCATTCATGTGGAATAGACTGTGTTCTGTAGTGTATATTTTGAAGAACAATATATTAATGTTAAAGTTTGGTAATGTATTATAGAGCTCAAAGATAACTTACAAATAGGTATATAGGTAAGTAAATAAGCAAGCAGAAAATCTCCCTCTTGCAGGAAAAAATGGCTAATCAGGACTAAATTTGTAAGAAACTGACTCTATGGAAATATAAACAGCACCAGGAATTATGAAAAACATAGGCATATAATCTGCAACCATGTTAAAATCTGTTTTAATCTTAAAATTCTCTTGATTATAAAGCAACTATCAAAAATTAAAGAGATTGGTGGAAAATGTGTAGCAGTAAATGATGCTGTATAAACTCATCTCTTTTTGGTCTTCCTGTACTTTTGTGGTATGCCTAATTTTGATCTCTGCAAGTTTAGAATGAATATTTAAAAACTTGCACCTAGAGAAAATGCATAAAGATAAGCAGCATGGCTGAGAATGTGAGACACTTGAAAACTGTTAAGAAGGCAAATCAGAAATTTCAGAAAGAACACAGGCTGTATACTGATTTGGTTCACAATTGCACTATGATATTTGACACATAATCCAAAAAAGAACAAAAGAAATAAAAGATATTGCAGGGAATAGATTTACCACAGAACACAAAGGGCATTTTCCATAACATTTCCTACCAACATTATTTAAACTAACACAATCTGCAAAATAAAAGTTTTATAAAGATCTATTATATAGCAAAAAGGATTTTTGGCACATTTGTATGACTGGTTAATACAGATGGAGCTGAAACATGGGAATTCTCCAAGAATATCAAGTATCAGTTAAAAGCTGAGCTGTAAAACATGAAAAGATTTATGCATAGGGTACTTCTGGAACCATACCAAATCCTTCAAGGTCTTAGTTCTGGTACTTGAAGAAGAAGCCCTCAAGTATTTCAGACATAATAAAAATCAGTCTACAGATCCACAAGTTATGCCAAGTGAATTCTAGTATGGTCCTAGAATCAGATAGGAAAAAAACCAGAGACTATAAAAATGAACAACAAAGTCATCAAGGTGAAAGACATGTTGGAGAGTGCGAATAAGCAAGTGTAAGAAAAAACCATAAATGTAAATGATCACTAATCCACAGTGCAATGTAAACTATCCAAGATTATAAAATGAGATGCAAATGATAAATATTCACTTAGAAGCTATATGAACACATTCTGTAGTATTTTCCATGCAGTGCATAGTGAAGCGTAATAACAACAGTGAACAACACAGAAGCATGTAACATCTCTCTAACAATATCAATGCTGTCATACTATTCCTTTAATAGAAGAAAATTAGACATTCTCCTGGCTATTTGAAGTCAGTCTTGCATGATGCATTCCTCTCTTGTGTTACAGACTGGGGATCCTTCTCACCCAACAAGTAAAATAAATTAAAACTGCACATACCCTCTTTAAGAGAGGAAGAAAAAATTCCATAGAAAATTAGTTCTATGTAAATCACAATCACACTATGTAAGACTGCCTGCCTTTGAAACTATTTGAAAAACTTTGGTTCCTCTTTCTTCAGCACTGACCTTCGGGACAAAAAGCTCTTTTCCACTGGTTGGGGTTTTTTTGCAGGAATAACCTCTCCTAGAGGGGAGAAGAATTTCTGATATTTTTAATTTTTATTGCCTTTTCAAAATCTAGTATTTCAAAGTCCTTGGACTAATCTTTAATCGCAAATATTTCATCAGATTCTATAGAACTACTGGTGTACTTCTTCTGTATCACATATTCTAAAACAAGTTGCTGAAACTGAATTAGAAGGCACAGTTCAAAGTTACAAATTATGTTTAACTTATAGCACTAATAAAAAATCCTTCCTCAGCATTCGGTGGCATCTAATAAAGAGACATAAATTATGCAAGCCAACTATACTCTTTAAACTAATTTGACCTTTTTTCTCCATAACTATGGAAATTAATACTACTTGTTTTTCTCACATTAAAATAAACTAGTATCTTGTATACTTCTGGGCCTGAGTGAGCTTCATCTAGACGTTTCTTCTTAAAATAGATTTGCTCCTTACAAAGTTTTATATTAAGTTTTATACTAACGTATAAAAATGAACACTGAAAATTTAGCAACATGTTATTAACATCACTTGAACTACTTCACATGCAGCAACATGAACTTTGAAAAGGAGTGTTTGCAGTTTTTTTCTAGTTGGCCACTCCAAAACAGACAGTTGTCTGTAAGTCTGTAGTGTATTTTACTTTCTTGAATGTGTTCAAATAAATAAGAAATGCTAGTTCAGTCCAGCAATTCATCTTCTCTAATGTTGTCCTCTTGACATTGCCTATGCAAGACATATAGGGCACCACCACAAAAACAAATTAATGAATCATAATATTAAGAGTATTTTGGTAAAAATTATGAATAACATTTCATCAAATATGTTTCTTTTTATTCTCAAGAAGTGCTATTCTCCAACATGATATTCAGTCTCTACATATTATCAAATGCTTCATAAATTTCATGTAGGCTTGAATTTATTTTTGTTCAGGAGAAGGTCCTTTGTTTCCCTGCTTCTTTCCTTGATGTAATATATTTAATCAGAATGAATGAGTAAATAAATAAATAATTCTTCACTACAATTTGAAGGTAAGCTCAACTCTTTCATGTGCCTTTAGCTGGAGCATAGTGACACAGGGAATACAAAGATTTGGTTGTTTGGTTTTGATTTTAAAGTCTATATGTAGGTGGAATACATCAGTAAAAAGGGTATTAGAAAAACCCAACTTTATAACCCAGAGGGTGCTGACTTTTGTGGATTATCACCAAGCACCCAGACTTGTGACTCTGTAATAAACTTCTGCGTGCGGTTGGCTCTAGCACAACGAACTCTGGGTTACGAACTCTGTTTTGGAATAACAGTAGTAGTAACACAAATGACTGGCAAAAATGAAATGACAGTTTTTCCATAAACTCAGTCTTCTTTTAGTTTGGATGCCATTTCCATTTCCTTTAATTTCATGCATAAAACCTTTGACTGGAAAAAATGTGTCTTGTCTTTTAAACTGGCACCAACCAAGCTAAAGTTCTTTCAGTAGAAGTTACACATGTACTTCATTTCATCATCCCACTGAGGACTCTTGCTCTTTTGCTCTTAAAACCAGCCTTAAAATTGGACAGTTTTCTAAAATTTCCATAGATCTACAAGGTGCACCCTAAGTGTTCTCATAAAATTAAGACAGAAGTTGAAAGATGCAATAAACTATTATAATGCTTATTAAAAGCTGCAGTTTACTAGTCTCAAAGGAACTTGCCAAAATTCCACTAATTTCCACGTACCAAATTCTTTGCTCCAAGTCAAGGAAATGATAGAGGATTTTTTCTAGAAGAACCAAAATGTCCAAATCCTTATATTTTGGTTTCTCTTTTTCTTTCTTGAGGGATTATGGATTCCCTTGTTTTATAAACAATAAAATTATTTTTCCTAAGCTACAGTGTGGGAACTCATACACTGTTGAAGGGGTGCCACTCCACTTGAGCATCAGTCTGGTAAACTCAAAAAGTCCTGCAAAACTACTCCTTTCCTCAGTGTGCAACAAACCCTGAAAATCTCCGCTCAAGGGCCTGAATCTGGCTGATTATTACCTTTGCTATTTATTCAGTTATTTACTAGTGAAGTCATTTTGGGGGCAGGGAGAGTGGGAAGGCATGCCATGCAAACGTTCGATAGATGAGGGCAAAGGCAGCTCTCTGGTATTTATGCACCAAAGCACAGGAGGACGCAAAGACTCGAGAGAATCGCCCACTGTCTGAAGAGTTACTGTGTCTCCAGAGCCGCCGAGAATGGGGAGGGGGTGGCTGGCTTCCTCTTGCGGGCAAATGACCGGCCGTAAGAGTGCGTTTTTAAGGAGTGATGTCAGAGAAATTAAACTCGAGCAGTCAAACACACCCCCCTACCTCAACGACGTGTTTCTCTCTTTCTTAAGGCGAGAGAGGTGGCTTTGTAGCGCACCCAGCTCACTCCTACCCTACTGGGACAGGGGCTGGCCGGCGGGAGACACTTATTAATTATGAACGGGGAGATGTCCCTTTAAGGTCTGCTGCGCTCTCCGAGAGTGTTTAGTGGGGGAGATTTGGCTTTATTTGTACATCCTAACGCCGGGCTAATTCAACGGGGAGGTTTCCAAAACTCAGAGACCTTTACGGGAGTGGGTGGGGGGGAAACTGTGTGCGGTGGGAGGAAGCTAAACTCTTCTTAAACGCGAAGAAGCAACGTAAAGAGTGGATAACAAACAGGAAATGCCTAACTCGGCTGCGAGGCGGACGGGCTGTGCAGAGCGCTGAGCTCCACCGGCAGCGCAGCTCAGCCGGGCGCGCCGGCGGCAGGACCGCTCCCGCCACCCCTGCCCTCCGCCCAGGCTCCGGGCCCCGGCTCGCAGGAGCCCAGGCATGGCTGCCTCCTACTGGATGCTGACAGGTGAGTAAAACCTTGTCTCTGCCTTGCTCTGAAGACTCGGGTCCCTAAAGCAGCCCTTCCCGGCGGGAAGCGGGTGAAGCTGGTAGGGTCTGGCACCCAAGGGACGGCGCCCTCCCGCCCAGATCCCTGCCTCGGGAATGCCCTTCCCGGAGCTGCTCTCCAGCCGCAGGCGGTGAGGAACCTCCTCGGTTTGCTTCTCCCTGGGAACTTTAAACCCTAAACCAGTTTTAGAATCTGAGGGCAAGGGGTGGTTGCTAGATGAGGATGAATGGCTGAGAAGGCATACTGTAATTGAATCTGGCTTGGAACAAATTTGTTTGATTTTGTTGATTTGGTTTTTGGTTGGCTTTGGAGGGTTTTTTTAATTAGGGTAGATTTTTTGCTTTCTTCTGTTTGGCTTTCAGACTTCTGACTGGCAAAAGGGAAGTGAGGAAGCACTCACTCACTTACTTCAGAAAGATGAGTTCATCCGGAGATGAAATATGTAATATTTCCTTTTAGGGGTTCATTGATTGTTAGTGACTTACTTGCTTTCCTAGAAAAGGGAATGCAGCAAGTAACAATGTCCCTAGCTAGTCAGTCTGCAGTCACATTTTGGATCTGAAATCAGGAGAACCCTAGAAGTGGGGAAGAAGCTAAGGCAATGCTGGGATTCATGTGCTTGGAAACTTGGACATTGAACTCCCCCCAGCAGCTCTTGCGCAGGCAAGTAGCACACAGTGAACCTGAAGCAGTTCTCCCCTGAAACAGGAGAAGAAATCAATTTCATAAGAATTATCCAAATGCAGGCAGCAGCAAGTGGGGAAAAGGCAAAACTAGAGTTTTCCCCTCTTCCCTCTGTACTTATTGTGCAAGACAGAACAGATACTGGAAAATGTGAAAATCTGAATATAGTATTTTGGCATGCCATATTTAGTTGTTGTCCTTAACAGTCTTCATTATTATTGCAGTGACATACTCCAAAACATGTTTTTGTTTGTGTTCCTTCAAAAAAGGACACTTTGTAAAATACCAACAATTTAGTGTGCCACAATTTCCCTTCAGAGTTGCAGAGTTACCACTAGTAATGCTGACAGACAACGAATTCATCAGTAATGAAAAAAAATGTTTACTGTCAGGTAGGAAAAAATTTCAAGTCTCATCTGGATTTACTAGGTAATTACTTTTTTGGTAGTGGTGTCATGGGGGTTTCTTTTTTAAAAGATTGGTGGGAAAGAGGATAGATTTAGAAATAAGAGGAGGCATTACAGATACCAGGTAAAAGATTCAAATTGTCTCTGACAAATAAGAGAAGTAGTCCTACATAAACAAGTCAAAATATCATAAGAATATGGAAAAGGGGCTTTCTTCACCAAGAGAAATATATTGACACTAAAAAATAATTTAAAAATAAATGACACTCTGTTCTTCCTTTAAAGAAAAAAGCAGCAAATAATCTGGCATGTCCTAGCAGACAAAAAGAATCTAGAGTAAAGGAGGCACATAGAGATGTTATGTATATTTGTGTATTTATATAGATTTTTGTTCTTTTTTAATTCGGCTTTTTTTGATGAGACCTCTGAGAATCTTGACCACAGAAAGTCTGACATGTAAACAGACTGAAGTGCACAGAGAATTGAGAAGCCTGACAAGAGCTGAGTAAAATGATATGTGACAAAAGACTGAACTAGTTAGGCTTGTCTATCTAGTAGAAGAAAACTAAAGGCAAATTATTGAACATTTTAAATATATCTTGATATCCAAATATTATTGCTGAGAATATTATTCCAGATGTAAATGTTTCTTTGTTTAGTGAGAGCACTCAGTCATGACTTTCCACATCACATATGTTGGTTTTCAAAGATATTGATAAATACTTGGTTCTCCAAATCCAGCAAAGGCCAAAAGAAAAATCAATGTAACTGACTATGCATAAATCTTAGGGAATATTCAGAAGAATTTTCTTACTCTCAAGGTAAAAAATTGCTAGGCTACCAAAAAAAAGCCTATCCCTGAATAATCTCTTACACCAGGACTTTTGATTAAGTTAGATGAACAGCATAAGGGATGGCTGAGTTTACTTCAGCTGGTCTCTATGCAATTGGTTTGACTAGGGATCTGCTGAAGTTTTCTCCAGCCCTACATTTCAACAACTAAAGAATGAAGAAGTCAGTTTCAAGGGTTCCATTACCTTTAAAAGCTCCCTCACTTAACAGTGTTATGCAAAGCCTGTTCCCTCCTGGACTTCTTTATTGATGATGGTCTTGCTGTACTCATCTTTATAACAGAAAAGATAAATAGAAAAAGACAGAACTGTATGCAGAAAATGAAGTGATCTTTGTTCAGAGTCTGTACAAGCAGGACAGCCATAGGACAAAGGCAAAGCATGAAAACAGATGTTTTCCCAAGTTTCCCCTCTCCATCTGTCTCTTTTATATTCCTCTGCTCTTGAAATAATAATGCCCAACATTTCTTAGCAGACTTCCCCCTACATCAGAGATTCTTTTCCATTAGTTTTTCTTATCCAGAATGTAAGCATGTTTGCATGAATTCTAGCTAAAGTGTCTATAATATGGAGAAGATGAGATTTCCTATGAAAATGACCCCTCCTTGTCTAAAATCTGTATGTAACCCATCTTCATAAAGTAGTTGACCAAGAGTTGAAGACATAGGGAAGCGAGTCTCAAACATTTTCAGAATAATAGCTTTAGATAACCAGCATGGCTCTAAAATCCCTAAGAATATATGATACCACCATTTTCATTTTATCTTGCATTGTACTTAAGAAGGTCCAAAAATGGATGTCAAATTGCTGCAATTATTAATACCTATAGAAGTGTATTTACAAAGTGATTTATTGCAAGAACTCTTAGGTCCTATACATAGTCTCAATCTTATACCAAGACAGGAACAACCTATGCCATTTTGAACTTTCATGTTAAAACTATGAGGATTTGGAAGTACCCACTTGTTTTGGCTCTACCATGGTCAAATTCATCTCTCTTCCTGTCATTAGCACAATTAGAATAAACTTAGAAACTTCTGTGATTCTTAATTTTTTGAGATATTTTTCTTCTACTGCTCATACTTTGACATACTCAAACAAATAATAATATCCTATATTTACTTTTTTTACCAGAGTAGGCAAAGCATCATCATCTCTAGTAAATATTTTCCTTTCTAAGTTGACAATAGTCCTGCTGATAGTGGGTAAATCCATTGAAGTTTACATTTGCCACTAAATATTTGTGGATCACTGTTCACAACTCTATAAATCTTACAACTTGCTGTTTGAGAAAAGGCCCATATCAAAATGTTTCTTTCTACAACAGGTAATTGAAACTTTTGAGTGGCAACTTTGTTTCAAAGTTGGGCTTTCTTCTTTGGTTGTGGTTTTGTTCTTCCTGAATTCTTGCTTTTGGGGTGTGTGAGGCGGGGTGTGTGTATGCACACATGTGTGTTATTGTGGGGTTTTTTAATGCAGCAAGTCACTTATTTTCCTGAATGAAATGTTTATTTTTTACTGGATAATACTGGATGCCAACTTGCAACCTTTATCTAGAATATATTGCATCTCCAGGGATGGTTGTAAAAATTTGACTGGAATGAATAAGCACAGAAAAGTCTGTAAATACACAGCTGTAAAATAATAAAAAGTAAAATACGTTTTAATGTGGAAGTTAAATATGCACCACAACTACTTTTTCTTGAAAGAATAGCGTGAGGTCAACCTTTGAAATTTTATAGTTGCAAAGAATGTAAAGAAGAAAATCTGCCATAAAATCACATTCAGCATTTATATAGATAAGTGAAAGGAACTCTGAAAGTAAAGTTGAATGCACACTAGTGCAAAATTATTAATACAAACAAGTTAAACAGTTACTTACACATGTGCTTATGTTATATTCCCTTGGGTGGTCCTGCTTGATTCTGTGAAACAATTCATGCTAACAGAGTTAAGCATGTGTACTCACAGGAAGAGAGTCTGAGGTCTGATAAATAAATCCTATTATGTAATATCTGATAAAGTTGTTTTTACACCAGTATCAAGCTTAGGGAAAAGGAACGCACATTTCTGAGCCAAATCTGAGTTCACTGTCCTGTCACAACTGACTAGAGCTAGATACTTCTGAGAAATTTATAGGTTCACCATAATGGAAGATATGGGATTATTTTTGCTCACAGTAGCCTTGTATCTCATCAAATTCTTGACTCCAAAGCCTTCCCAAGTCAGCAAATTCCATAATCATAGTGAGTTGTTTTTTTTTTTTCTTAAATAGCTAATAGAAACCAGAAACTTCCTTGTGACCACCTTCTCATCTGTAAGAAGATGCCATCAGAAGATGCTTTTCTATAGTAGACCGAGTGTGTAATCATTCCAAACTTATCTGCTGCAACTGCCCTGACACACTTAGCATGGCATATTAGTGTGCTGAACTTTTCAACCTATTTTTATTTAATAATTTCTCATGCAAGCATTTTTTTTTCTATTCTTCATTCTTTCCCATGATCTATATTCGTAACATTCATTCTTAAATGGAGTTTTTAGTGTTGTACACTGTTTCAAAAATTAGCTACAGAAATCAGAATTACAGAATTATATATTTTAAGGGATTGGAATGAACATTATAGATCATCTAGTCCCAACCCACCCTGCTATGCGCAGGGACAATTCCCACTCAATAATTCCCAGCCTTCTCAATTCCTTGTCCAATGAGTACCAGGTTTGGGGAAACCACAGCCTTCCTGGGCAACCAGGGGTTAGGCACTATTCCAGTGTGTAACCACCCTCAAAGAAACATTTCTTCCTGTTATGTAACTTAAATTTCCCCTCTTTCAGTTTGTACCTATTACTTATTGTCCTGTCACTGCAGTTCCTGATGAAGAATCCCTCTCCAGCTTCCCTCTTCCCTGTAAGATACTGGAAGGTTGCTATGAGGTCTCAGCCTTCTCTTCTTCTCCAATATTCCTCCCTTCTTGTATAGTGATAGAACTTTTCATTATTTCTGGATTGCTAAATTCATTTAGGCTGAAAATTCAGCTGTGTAATGATGGTTCAGGTCCATTTTCTTTATATGTCTTTTATCAAGGCATCTTATTTCTCTATGTGAACATCCAGCTTCGTTTGAAACGTGCTCATCCTGCCTCCCTAGCATGTCAGAACTGGAAGGAAGCTGGTCAAGGTTCAGCACGGGCTGAAATGTAACTTGCAAATTTAACCAAAACCTTTTAAACCGGAATTCAGTTTAAGAGCAGCAGCCAAGTAACAGGTCATGTTCTGATGTTGCCTGGTTTTCGTTTCCATGGGTGACGGCCGCCTCGCTCCGCCTCAGTCAGGCGGCGCTGGGGGTGGCACTGCCGTCCCCTGGCTCCTTGGCCTCGCCGAACCACGGCACCTCTTGCCTCTTTTGCCAGCTGCGCTTCTAAGTTTCCAACAACTGCTTGGCTTTGGCCGTTTGTTTTTGGTTTGGTTTTCGCCTCTCGTGTTTTGAAACGTGTGGCACGGCGTTAGGAGACTCCAGGAGTTTGGACGGCCGCTGTGCAGCGCTGGAGGGGAATGACGAACGGGGGGGCGACCCTTCCCGCGGGGCAGCGCCCGGCAGCAGCAGCGCGGGCAGCGCCCGGCAGCAGCAGCAGCAGCGCGCCCCTCCCCGCGCCCCGCCCTCACGCCGCCCCGCACTCTTCCTTCGCAGGACGCACCTCGGGACGCGCCGCCCGGCTACCGCGCGCGGCGCCTCGCGCATGCGCCGCGCCTGCGGCGACCGAGCGCGCCCCGGCGGCGCCTCAGGAGGGAGCGGCGTCTGTGCGCGTGCGCCGTGGGGCGGCCGGGGACGCCGCGCGTGCGCGTTTGTGCCGGCGGCGGGCGCGCTCGGGAGCGCGGGGTTGGGGCGCGCCGGGAAGGCGGCGCGGGTGTCCGTCGGTCCGTCCGGGAGCGTGCGCCCCGCGGGGCCCGGCCCTCAGCCTGCCCGCTGGGGGCACGCCTGCCGCCCGCTGCCGCCGCGACGCGGGCAGCGACGCGAGGAGCCGCCAGGATGAAGCTGGTGAGGAAGGACCTGGAGAAGGATAATGCGGGGCAGGTGACGCTGATCCCTGAGGAGCCTGAGGACATGTGGCACACCTACAACCTGCTACAGGTGGGTGACAGCCTGCGCGCCTCCACCATCCGCAAGGTTCAGACCGAGTCGTCCACGGGCAGCGTGGGCAGCAACCGCGTCCGCACCACCCTCACCCTCTGCGTGGAGACCATCGACTTCGACTCACAGGCCTGCCAGCTGCGGGTTAAGGGCACGAACATCCAGGAGAACGAGTACGTGAAGATGGGCGCCTACCACACCATCGAGCTGGAGCCCAACCGTCAGTTCACCCTGGCCAAGAAGCAGTGGGACAGCGTGGTGCTGGAGCGCATCGAGCAGGCCTGCGACCCGGCCTGGAGCGCCGATGTGGCGGCCGTGGTCATGCAGGAGGGGCTGGCTCACGTCTGCCTGGTCACCCCGAGCATGACGCTGACTCGAGCCAAGGTGGAGGTGAACATCCCCCGCAAGCGGAAAGGGAACTGCAGTCAGCACGACCGGGCTCTGGAGAGGTTTTACGAGCAGGTGGTGCAAGCCATCCAGAGGCATATCAACTTTGAGGTGGTGAAGTGTGTACTGGTGGCTAGCCCAGGCTTCGTGCGGGAGCAGTTTTGTGACTACATGTTCCAGCAGGCAGTCAAGACTGACAACAAACTTCTGCTGGAGAACAGGTCCAAGTTCTTACAGGTAAGGATCTAAGCAGTTTCTAGAGTAGGTAAAAAGAGGCTTGAGAGTTGCGTATGATAGTAAAAGGTAGTTACATGGGAAATAAGTCACTAAAGAAAATAAATTTCTGACTGAGCATCATGAGAAAATTATTCTTATGTCTCCCAAACTATAAATGAGTTGTGCGTAGTATAAGGATGGTTCGCACATAGGATACCTTTATCTGGAATAGAGAAAGTGTTAGATATTTCAAACTCCCTGTAAAGGCATATTGGCTCTTCAATTAAGTGTGAAGTTTAAGTTGGAAAGTACTTTGCACTGTTACGTTGTCACCTGTATAGCATCCATGTTTAATAACAACTTTCCAAAGATGTTTTTTTAAAAGTACCTGAATGTGGTATAGGTTAATTAATTTTGTATTAACAAATTTAACTAGAATTTCATTGTTAGTTTTGTACCACATATTTAAAGGCTCTGTTTTTTTTCTTGTTTCTTAGTCATCTCATTGATTGAGTGCATGGGGGTTTAGCTTTATACTAAAATAGTCATATTCAGGACCTAAAATACGTTTTCATAAGGATTCTTGTATTATTTTTAGATTGGAGTAGGCCTGGGGTGATCTGGGGGCAGGGATAGTGAAGTGAGTCCCAGTACTTAGGAGACCCAGTGCACCAAGAAAACCCTCCTGTTCCATGTGTAACAAAGTGATAATAGAGAGAAGTAGCTTTGTGACCATAATAATTGCGCAGAGTTGATGCTTTTACACTATATGCCTGCAGTGTTGAGGGTCCTTCCTTTTCTTCAATGCTTTAAAAGAGAGGCGTAGGCTTAGATTTGAGTTTCTTGGTAGTTTCAAGTAGCCGTATCTTGGGAGCTGTTGAGCTTGTATATTTAATCCAGGCTTTGAATAAGAGAGGCAGTTGTCTTTTTCTGCTTCAAAGACAGTTTAAGGGATTTGGTATAGGCTCTGTGTTGCAGGAGAGATTAAGAAAAGAATCATGTGTATGTCAAGAAAGACACAAGTTCCCCAGATAATTATCGAGATTAATATTACATATCATGGAGGGTGTTTGTGATTGGTTAATAAAGAAAATGGTCCTTTTTTTTCAAAAACACCAAACTTTTGACTTTGTTTTCACTCTAGGTCCACTCTTCCTCAGGACATAAATACGCACTGAAAGAAGCACTCTGCGACCCAGCTGTAACTAGCCGTCTTTCTGACACTAAGGCAGCTGGTGAGGTCAAAGCCTTAGATGACTTCTATAAAATGCTGCAGCATGAGCCTGACCGGGCTTTTTATGGCCTGAAACATGTGGAAAAGGCCAATGAAGCCATGGCCATTGATACCCTGCTGATCAGTGATGAGCTTTTTCGGCACCAGGATGTGGCTACACGTTCCCGATATGTTAAATTGGTAGATAGCGTACGGGAGAACATGGGCACAGTGCGCATTTTCTCCAGCCTCCATGTGTCTGGAGAGCAGCTGGGCCAGCTGACAGGGGTGGCAGCTATCCTGCGCTTTCCAGTTGCTGAGCTCTCTGACCAGGAAGATGAATCTAGCTCTGAAGAGGATTGATAACAGTGGCTTCATTCCACAGTTTCTTTTCAGTGTCATGTTGAAATGACATTAAAAGGTCCTCCTCACCTGAATACTGTGTGCACATGTACCATGACATGTAATTAAAAAGGTTTAATAATAAACATATACATGCATATATATATAGCTTTATGTAGCACACTACTTGATATCTGATGTATGGTAATAATTATTGATATGCTGTGCTGAGCTGACTGTTTTTGCAGTTCCAGACCACCAGCAGTACAAGAAACTAATTTGGCTCCTCAGTTCTGGTTGGTCTGCATGTTAAGGTATACTGCCAACTTAGGTGAAATGTGTAAGAAAAAATAGTAAGCTAACAGGGCGAAATTCATGTTGTAATATTTCTTTTCAAATGCTTGAAAAGAGTTTAGTGAAACAAATGCAAACTTCTTGGGAGACTTGTCAAAACTGTGCTCGATCTTCATAGGTGCTCCCTGTTCTCTGTAAGGTGTGTCAAAGGAATAGGGTCAATATCAATTCTTAGGGCTTAGTGTGGTGATGTAAGTCTAACCACTTGAATATTTCTGTGAAACACTTGAAGCAGTCTTTCAGCAGTGAGACCCTTTATCTTAACCATAACTTTACATTTCTTTGCTAACACAGTAGTAGATGCAGGACAAATGGTGGCTCTCAGTGCACCCATTTAGTTGTCTTTTTGAATACTGTACCTTGGGAGATTGTACTGAAGACTAACAAGGAGTCATTGACTATATTCTGCTAACTTGGCATTTAGCATCCAGTTCAGAGAAAGTATAGGAAAAAACTTAGAAAATCAGGACTTGAGTTTCCACAAAGAATCTTTTGATAGCAAATAGTTTAGGTAACTTCATAATCTGGTATTCTATTTGCATAATTCTTTAAAAACATAATTAAATGGTGATACTGAAATAAAGATGACAAAATTATAAATCAAACTTGAGCTTTAGCTAGCGGCAACTGTAAAAGTGAAAATTACCTTTTCAATTACTTGATCAGCTCAAAGTACTGAGAGCCAGAAGGAGTTTTATTTCTTCAGTGGGCCATACATCTTACATTGAGGAAGCAAAAACTGCTTTCAGATTCAGACATAAACTGTGGTTGTATTGTTTCAAACCAAGGTTTGGTGATGGGGCTTGTGTGTGTAAATAGACTTTTTTCTCTTATAGATGTGATGGAAGGTGAGAACAGGAACCACAGAAGAATTCTGTGACATGGAAAGTATTGTAAGAGTGGACCATTAAAAAACAAAACCACCAGAACTCCTAGTCTGGGTAGAATAAAAATTATTTTTCTAAAACTAAGGCTAGTCCCCTATGTTCATGGGTGCCAATTCTCTGAATTTAATACTATCTATTGGTAGCTGAGACACAAATCTAAACTTCTTGATAGAAAAGTACTTTTGAATTAAAGCCATCTCCCCTCTTCCACATCATCCACACAGTCTAAGAAATCCTTGAAAAGAACTTATATTAGAGCTGTAACACTTTGATTCTTCTTTTGCTGAAGACAAGCAAAGCCCATTGAGATACTTGTTTACAGTCAGCTTGCACACATAAATTATGTTATTTGAGCTTTACATTTTGTCTTGAATGGTGTTGGGTGCCACAAGTCATAGAATGCTCAGGTAGGCTTTATTTAGTAGTTAAGACTGCTTAAAATAATTTCTTTTTTTTCTTATTTGCCTAAGTTTATCATACACTTTTTAGCTAGAAAGCACCTTGATTCCTGTTATATCTAGTTTAATGTTAAAAACAGGAAGCAGAAGAAATTGACCTGGAAATACTAATTATAGGCAGCAAGTTAGGGCCTTAAATAAAATCATATCTAAACAAGTCATTAATTTCTCTGAGCTTTTATAATATAGGATGATATAGCAGTATATTCCCATTTTCTAAGTAGTGCAAATTTGTTGCAACTGTACACAAATGACATATTTTAATTTGTAGTGTACCACAAATTCTTAGTTTTTCTCAGAAAATTCTCCGAGAGACAAATCAAACTCCTCTTTGGTTGTGGGATGGATTGCTGTTTTATCAAACCAGATTGGTTCCAATTATTCCATTGTAAACCAGAAATTATGAAGAGTTTTGCTGAGTACTACATGATTACAATGATGGATTTGTGTTTTGTGCCTGTAGTTACCATCAAGGAAAAGAAGTGGCCATTTTGTTGCAGTTTTGTTTTTCTTTTTGTTTCATCTGCTAAAAATGTGATGATAGTGATTCTTTTAATTATTTATACTTAGAATTAAAATTCTGTCTTGACTTTATATTTTGTGTAATTTTCTTTTTTTTTTTTAGCTATTGCTATCATGTTGTTATATCTCTGAAAGAAATACACATGGAATTGCCCAAAGAAAATAAGTATGGAAGGGTGGGATTTTTTTTTTTTTTTTTTTTTTTTTTTTTTTTTTTTTTTTTTTTTTTTTTTTTTTTTTTTTTTTTTTTTTTTTTTGGTAAGCATTTTTGTTGTAAAATAAATATACAATCTCTATGTATACAAATGCATCCTGTTTCAGGAAACAGCTTAAGGGCTTGGTATTGAAAATTGGCTGTGTTCAGTGCTTGACCTGGCCAAGTTCCAGGGTTGCTAGTGTCTTCTACATTTCAAGGAATTTTGAATAGTTGAAAAGTCCATTCTGACAAAGTTGCTTGCTCAATGCAGACCTTAGTTTGTGTGTATAGATAACACTTGCACAGAAGAGGATGCTCTCAGCATATCAAAGGAGTGAGTGCTAGAGCCATGGGAAAATATTTTTTGTGTTTATTGTTTGGAATTAAACTAAAAAATATATTTTGAAATGTCTCCATTTAGTTTAGGATTATATTCTGGCATAATTCTGTGAATTAATAGTGTGGTTTAGCTTTCAGTTTTTCTGTGTTCAAAATGAATGAAGACATATTGCAGGACTTCCTAAATCTTGTTACATTTGGTAGGAAGAAAGCTTTAAAAAGTATGAAATTAGATTGATCATGAACCCTGCTGTGCTAGACAGTGATTCAAATAAATTTATTTCCTCATTTGCCTCTCTTGCAAATTTGTATTTTGGAACAGGCCCCAGTCTATTAGTTTTGTCACCTTTGGCATTTAAATCCACTTATCACATATGTTTTTTGTGGTTGTTAATCAGCTAAAGCTTAGTGCAAAATGCAAGGTCACCACCAGCTGGAGACCAAACTAATCCTACTAATTACAAGGCAAAATAAAAGATAAATCCTGCAGTAAAATTGTAAAGCATTTTACCAGGAAATTCTTTGTCTCCCTCCTCTTGTCTTTACCATTGTATAAGTAAAATGCTAGTAATAAATGATCTTTTGACCACCATTGTGCTAAGAGCCCATAGCTCTTCAGTTTGATTTGTGCTGGGACTAGACATGATGTTTTTAAAGCTGTGTAAATGTCTAAATTTTCATTTGCTACTGTTCTCTTGCAGGTTAAGTAGCCCTGAATTTTAAAACTAACTTACCCTCTGAAAATTTCTTACAACTTCTGAGCTGCTGACCTTGGTTTACCTTGTTCAGTGAAGGTATATTATAGCTCAGTTTTCATTAGAGACTGATATATCACTTGAGCCTCTCAAATTTCTTTATAGAAGCAGGATTGTAAGTCCAGAAAAATGTACACATATGCATGTGTGTTTTAGATCACCCAGTCCACTCACTTTTCTCTTGAGACTTTCATAGCTCTCATTTCAAAGAAAAGTCTATTTCATGAAGGAATAGACACAGTTTAGGGGGAAAACCCGCCATATTGTCAGAATGTGTTACTTGAAGCCGTATTTCTACAGTGTGTAGTACTGACTCTACAAAAGACCTACGAAAACAATTTTTAAAATGTGAAGCAGCATCTGGAAGGTCTGCCATTAGGAATCCGTGTTTATAACCTAAAATCAGAATCCCTGCCGGAGACATAATAACAGAAAAAATGAATTACTTCAGAAAAGTATTTGATCTACTTTTTAGATAGGCAGAACTTAAAACTTGATGTTTTTTCTTGCATTGGTTGCTTTAATCTGGAGATTTGTCTGTTCTCATTTGATTTAGCAGATAGTGGGGAGAGAGTGGTGACAAGGCGTTGCAGTAGATAATTTTCCCGTATCTGTCTTTCTCCTGTAATGCCTACAAATTGCTTTTAGGGACTGTTTAATTTAGATTTTGTGCGGGGGAAAAAATTATTTTGATGTTTCATTATTCTGCAAATTTAGGGTTAAGAAAATGCCTAACCATTTGGTTTTGTGATAATTACGATTCTTAATTCAGGCTCCAACAGGAGTTGAGCCTGGGCTTTTTCAGCAGTGGAAAGAATAAAGGCAGGCTATGAAGCGTCTTGTGTGACAGTTGCCCGAAAGCTTGCTGAGTAAGTGTAGTGTTTAGTCCTGCCCCATATTTTATGCTTGACTCAAATAGGGCATTGACTTGGATTTGAGGGTAACTGCTTGCATGATACAGAATCTAAAGGAAAGACATGTCAGCAGTCTAACAACCAAAATGCATATCATACCCTGCCAACTTGTGAAGTTTACTGTTTTAAAGATGCTCTGTAGCTTTCCTGTGAAAAAATTGACTCCTAAGGTGTCTTAGCCTAAAATAAAGTGTGAGGAAAAGGCTTCTGAAATCATAGTTCTTTTTTCTGTTGTCTGAAAATAATTATTCCTTTTGTCCCACTTGAGAGCTGCATAAGAAACAGAGAGGGGAGTGGTATCAGAGCAGCCCTTCCTTCCAAGTCAGTGTCTTCTGGGAAATGCAACATGAAGCAGCAACTTTCAAGCCCTGCCAGGTCTTGACAGTTTTTTGCTATATCAGTCTTTAATTTATTGCCCTCTTTTTGGGAAATGCTACATTCACAGCTAATGTAATTGCTGTCATGCTGCTTTAATAATTACTTAGAAGTTAAATTAGAGCTGATCATGAATCTGCTGTCAAAGCAGCTATTCCTTTAGAGAATGTTAATTAGTTGAAATCTTTTTTGAAACGTTCCTTTTTAGGCATGTACATACCAGACATGATGGGAAGTGTTTTCTCTGGTCCAAAATGGAATTTCTAGTCAAAGCCAAGCCTGGAATAGCAAAGAAAGAGTGTAGGGGTTTAAGAAGTCAAATAGAACAGAAATTACAAAGCTTAAGGCCATTTTCTCTTTCATAGTAAACACTAGACTAAAGGTGCACCCTTTTGTGTCAGTGTCATTGGTAAGTGCAACTTCCACACTGAACAAATAGATATTCTTGTATCTTGTCTGAGATATCTACAACTGGCTCAGGCATGATGTCTGAAGGAATAAGGGCAGCAATTTTCAGATTTCTGGTCTGAAAGTGAAAGGAAAATAATTGAAAACTAGGACTGTTCCTACCAAACACATTTATATCAGTAGTCTTTTCAGAAAAAAAGTCCTGAACAGTGGTCCGTCCATGTTTCAAAAATATTTTGGACCTGACATCTACCAGGAAATCTACTTTTGAAGATGGTCAGATTCTTTCCCATACAGTACTTTTTGTTTGATTAGAACAAATGCTTTTGGCAAACTTTTTGCTGAACGGATTTGTATGTGAAGATGTGTGTGTATGTTTAGTAAAAGAAAAAGCTAGCCTGACTCTCGGCTTGTAGTTGCTTTGGTAGCTGCAGGATTAGCTCAGGATGCGGGGTTGATAATTATCTTCAAGAGTCAAAGATTTGTTTACTGTAAGAGGAACTCGGTAGCAAGTGATAAATTCAGGAAGTCTGACAGTTTTTAAATGTTCATGGACATTTCCTTTAATGGTTTCTGAAGCTCTGAAAGCTACAGCAGTTTTTGCTGAAGAAAATGGCCTTTTCTTTGACCTGCAGTGTTCAAGTGTTTTAGATAAATAGTTTTGTTTAGGTCTAAGTGAAGTTAATTAATTGCATATGTTTATCTTGCCCAAACAGGTACCGTAAGACCACTTCATTTGAGAGAGAGAACTGGTGTATCCCATATAATTTATTCCTCTCCTGAGTGGAAATTTCTGTTCTGAGATGGGATTGTCTAAGAGAAGCTGAAATGGACTTTGCAGACAGTGCTGGGTGAACATTGGCAGTCTTCCAGTACAGTCAGGTCTCCTGGGGCACTGGCTGCCCTCGCTGCAAGGCTGTATGTAGGAGCTACTGGGACAGCAGTGGTGAGAGGCAGAAAAAGAGCAGCTGTCTCCGGAGGGAGCTGTTCCAAGTTCCAGAGCTGTGAGGAAAGATGAAAAGCTGTGGTTTAATGGAAAACATGAGGTGCTGTTTTGGGTATGTTACTTTTTCCCCAAAGGGAGGCACAGTGAATGTTTGAAATATCTGAATTCAGTTCTAACGGCTCATGCTCGGCTGAGGGTAAGATGCCAGCTGATGTGACTAAGTTCTCTGTGTGTATCTGGTAGAGGAGCTTTGAGCCTGAGACGGACTCTAGAGATATTGAGACCTCACTAATCCTCTCACTATGGAGTCATTTCCGGCCACCCTGCTGTTGCTGTATCTGAGGCTTGTGAAAGACTGTCTTTGTTTTCCTTTCACACCTGTCTGAAAACCAACTTCTTTTTCAAAAATACTGCTTTATGAAACAAACACCTCACTGTGTTGTGTTGGCAGTCTGTGTGATAAGCAAAGGAAAAATTTCTAGTCAGACATTAAAAAAAACTCAAACCATCAGAAGCTGATTGAAATAACCCTTACAGGCTTTTTGAGAGGGTACCTGGTGAGAAGAAAAAGAGAAAGACAGATGAAACCATATGTAACAAGGTTTGTTGTTGGTTTTTAACAGTTTTCAGGTAATTTCAACTGAGATAAAAAGATTAGTAAGTCAAATGACAGGCTTTTAAACCTTTTCTCAAGAAAGCCCCAGAAATCAGTTGTTAAAACTATTAGTACATAGTCAAACATTGTGATCTTGGTCAATTATGACCACTTAAACTGTTTCAAGCTGTCTACATTTGTTTTATCCAAGTGTAGATTTGCATGGTCCTGTTTATTGTTCTTATGAGACAAAGTATTTTGTTATGAACAAAGGTAAGTGTTCAGAAAAAACAAAATTAATGTTAACAATTAATGTTGACACTATAAATCTAGCCTTTCATAATTTTAAAGACATGTATTTCTTGTGTAAATAGATAATACAAATTTATAAATGATGTGGGTTTTTTTGGAAAGAGTGTGGAAATTGTCACTGAAAAAATGCTTAGGGCTTTAGGCAGTAGTAATTTGAATTTGTGCTTTTTTCTTATTTCTAGAACATTTTTAAAACTACTTTGTTCCCCACTTTAAGCACATTTATTTTGACATAAGGACTGGCAAGAAACAAATGTATGTTAGAGAGCAGAACATTCCGACTACTGAAAAAATGAGAAATTGGAACAGCCTTCCAGTCAGAAAAAATCAGAGCAAAAGGTCACTTTTATATGGAATTTGTTTACCCTGAGAAATGTGATGTAGTTACCAGCAACAGATAGGAATTAATTTAGCAATTCTGTACCCACGCTTGGAACAGAAGCAGAGCACTTGCTGTTTTTATTTCATTAGAGCATTTTATGTTGCCCTGTTTAGATCTGTTCAATTCTTAGCACATATGTTCACACTGCATCGCAGCAATCACACCAAATTTCACCACAACACTGACCTCCTGTGTGACAGGCATTAGCTGTCTGAGCTAATGATGCAAAAATGCTTAGATTAGGTACCTGATAAGGATTTAATGAGTACTTTCTTTTCCATCTCTGCCAGTTAGATGTCCTCCAGGAGCTGTGAAGGCTATTAAAAAATATTTTTTGAGTGTTTTATTTGTAAACAGGCATTAAACTGAAGTCATTGATCATTAAGTGAGTTTCCTTTAGAAAGCATATTTTCTCCAGTAATTCTTGAGTGAGCAGCTACACGTTGGCCTTCTGTATCAATCACATCATAGCTTGGAAAAGTCTTACAAAGCCAACTGTAGTATCCCATGAAAGAGCAACTGTGGTATCCAAAGAGCTGTAGACCAAAAAAAGAATAAAAATACCTCAGCATCAGCACTGCTTTGCTGCCTCACAGCTGGGCAGGAAGGAAAAGCTGGAAGTGATCTGCTGCTGAAACTATAGTTGAGGTGCTACTTGCATAAGACTGATGTTAAATCTGTGATAAGGTAGCACATATATATATATATAACAGGAATGTTGTGGGATATAAATCGGTAGCAAAGGGCTCATTTGTACCTTTTTAGGAGGTCCTTTTTAAAAAGACTTGCTGGTTCACTTTAGAAGTCTGAGTCACTCTTAAATGACCCGAAAACTGACCTTAGTTTTGCAAACTTTAATTCTGCTTGAACAATCTCACTATTAAACTTCTGTGGTAGTTCTGTGAGGGTGATGCAGATCTTTGAAAGAAAGAGTAACAGATTCTTTATAGAAGTCCTGGTATGATGAGGATACTTTCAAACTTTCAGAATAGGCCTGGTCCAAATAGATATCTTTAAAATCATGGGTGTACTTCAGTTCTGTGGGTGGGAAATTAAAGTTATTAGTGCCAGTAATTCATGTAGAAAACTCTATCTTAAAGTGCATCTAAAAAACAGGATGTTTTTCTACCTCTAGAATCCAGCTCTAATTTTTTTTGGGGGGAACAAACCTTCCTTTTATAATCTCTTCATGGCTGGTTCCAAATTTCCCTGAATTGTTTATTGATGAATAAAAATGAACATTTGCAGTAAAAAGACCTAAGATTAATTTTGCAGTGCTTCCAACTGGTTTATCCCTACAGCAATGATACAACAAAAGAGATATTCATGTTCTTACTAATACTTGAGTGCCAGAGTCCTTAAAAATTAGTAGATATTGTTGGTGATGCATATTATGCTAAAGTTTTCAGTATGTTGCCAGTCAGTATTGATAATTTATGATGAAGTGGCTTTTGGAGAATTTATTAGGTTTTCACTTAAAGGAAAAGTATCTTGACCATAAAAATATACCACATAAAATAAGACTATTAAACGCCCATAACATTTTACTGCAGTTTTTAAAATTGCTTTGTTTTCCAGTTGCACTGTGGAATGACAATGAAATAGTCACCAATCTTGACCATATTTTATTCCAAACATATCCCTCATAATTATTTCAGGGAATAAGTTTCTTGTTAGAGGTACATCTTCTGTTCTTATTTCAAGAGTAATATTGATTGAAAGTTGGCATTTTGGTTTTGTCTTTTTTTCTCATGGTCACAGATGAACACTGTATGCCAATTCTGGCTTACTGCTTTGGGAATCCATTTACAGAAAGTTCGGTTTTATCTGTTGCCTTTCGATTATGCTCACCTCACAGGTAGACTGAAGATGAACTACTATCATATGACACATCAAGATGTGAAAGTCTTTGTGATTATCTTGGACCATAAAATGAGCTAAGCTGCAAAATACCTTTTGCAGCAGCCTTATGAATTGACTAGTGCAATCCCAGGTGTTCTTTTGGTCTTCTTTGACCAAGTGAGTAAACTTTTTCTCCTTAGGGTTTTTTTCATGATATGTGTGTGGTTTTTTGTAGCCTTTACTAGATTAGGCAGCTATTTTTATGTTTAAGTCCATGGAAAATTTGATTTAATGATCACTGTGGTAATTTTCAGTTCCACATGCTTGTCTGCTTGGATTTGTCAATTCTAAGT